TGAGTTGTGCTAAATGCAGAAGCTTTTGGAGTGCTTTAACAACTTACTGTGAATACTATCGGACCATTTATACTTCTATTTATATAGATCATCTTTTGCAAGTTTACAAAGACATATTTACATATTTGATGTTTCCTCGGCCGGTGGCTGAGGTGGCCGCTCCGGTGGTGCGAGAGCTGAGACTGGCCTTGCTGGCCCCCGCGGAGCTCAGCGCCCTGGAAGAGCAGAACCGGCGGGAGCCGCTCATCCCGGTAAGGACGCGGGGAACCAGCGGCTTGCAGCGTGGCAAAGGCGAGCTGGAGGGCGTGGCTCGGCTCTGGGTCTTCCGAACAGGGGCGCTGCATGTGTGCGGTGACCAGCCTCTTCCAGGCGGTGACCAGATCTCTTCCAGGTGGAGCAGATCGTGGAGGCGTGGAAGTGCCACGCCCTGCGGCGAGGGGATGCAGCCCAGGGCGCACCTTGCCGCCGCCGGAGGGGGACCGTGACCCGGGAGCACCACCGCTTTCTGGACCTGCCCTTCAAATGACGCCAGCCCCAGGCTTGCAAGGAATTCTGGGTCTGTTTGAACTATGGCTCCCTTGGACACGCTCTGGGCTCGGAGCCGGCTTCTGCTCCTGGCATGCTTGGCAAGCCCAAGGCCCGAAGAACCGTTCTGTGCAGGGCCCCAACTGAGCCGGGTGCTCGGGTCGAGGTCTATGGCATGGGACAGTGCGAGGAGGGCTGGGCCTCATGGTGAGGGCAAGATCCGAAAGCGAGGGTTCCTTCCCTCCATGCCCTCACTCTCCTACCCAGTCCACCCTCCTGACTCCCACGTTTATCTGTTAAGTTCAACCTCCCCTTTAATAACAGACCCGTCTCTCAGAGCTTTCTCCCAGAGTACCCCACAGACGACGCAGCACAGTGCTAAATCTGGTTCTCCATCTTTCTGAAGCTCTGCTCCCATCATGTCTGTCATTTGCGTGGGTGCCCACAGTGAACACTTGGATCTCATCCTTCCCTTACCTTTCTCCTACACCTGCCTCATTTAGCTTCTGCCTTTTTTTTTTTAGACAGGGTCTTGCTCTGCGGTTCAGACTGGGGTTGAACTCACTGTTTAGCCTAGGCTGGCCTCGAACTTGTGACAACCCTCCTGCTTCAGCCTCCTAAGAGTGCCACCATGCTGGGCTCACACATAATCTGTTTTGTAAAGGTTATATGAATGACTATTTTCCCATTTAAATGTCACTTTGTTTTACTTTTTTATTTAAGTCATAGGGTGAGGGCCCGGGATTTAGCTCAGTGGTTCTAACCACCTGCTTCCTATGTGCAAGTACCTAAATTTGATCCTTGGTTAAAAAAGAAAAAGAAAAGCCTTTTTTGGGAGGCTGAGAGTCAGAATCTGGAGTTCAGGATCAGTGCGGGATACATATCGAGCTCAAGGCCAGCCATTGACTAGAGTGGGGAGATCTTGTCTCAAAAAAGTCAAAAAGGCCAGGTGTGGTATTGCACGCCTGTAATCCCAGCACTCGGGAAACTGAGGCAGGAGGCTTGCTGGGATTTCAAGACCAGCCTTAACTATGCTGCCACACCCTCTCAGAAAAGGGGAGGCTGGGAGTGAAACTCAGTAATAGAGCATGTGTTTAGCGTGTGTGACAGACCCTAGGCTCAGTCCTCAGCACAGAAAACTAGAGAGAACAAGTGGCATAGTGATTGTGTCTTTCAAAGCCAGGATACTTGCGTTTAAACCTCACCTTCACCACTTACTAGCCTTTGTGATTTGTCTGAAACTATTCCATTATTCTTCTATGCCTCAATTTCATTATTTATTTTGTGGTGCTAGGGACTGAACTCTGAGCCTTTCTCATTCTAGGCAAGTGTTCTGCCACCTGCCACTAATCTATGTCCCAGCTCAATTTTATTACTTATAAAGTGTATATAAAAAACTGTTTATCCTGATATGGTGCACACCCAGAATTTCAGGATCACAAGTCAGAGTTCAATTTGAGACAAAGTCTCACTCCATAATCCCAGCTGGCCTACACTCTTCATCCTCCTGCCTCAGGGTCTGGAGAGGTGGGCAAAGTAAAATTTAATGAAGGATGTGTACAGCTCAGTGAGAAGATCCCACGCTCAATACCCAATTCTTATATGTTTATATAAATGCATGTGGGTATCCATTGTAAAGTTTGATTTACCATCAATTAGGGAGTACATCAGTATCTCACAAAGTTAACATTTTAAGAAATACAAAAGATACTAAGAAACAAAGTTACCAAAAACCGAAAAACCACTTAAGGTGCTTCAAAGTAAGACCTGCTTTGTTCCTCCCAACACGGCTCATCAGATATCACTGCCAATTATTTAAGTCTAACTTTAGACAGATAATCAGTCTCATTATAAAATGAGACCTCAAAAAATTGGTATTAAACTCAGAATCGTTCCTCTCCACGGAAATCTTTAGTAAAAGGCGAAAGATTTATGCGATCTGAAGAGAAACCAGAGTATACCTCGACCCCACAGCTGACAACTCCCAGAGAGAGGGAATCCTTATTACGATTATGGTTGTTCAACTCCAGCTGCAAGTGTTACCTGGCTGCAGGTCATATAAAAGTATCTTTTCCACCTGCGCCCCAGGATTGTGGAGCAACACAGCGGGAGGATTTCAAGCATTGAGGAGCGATTTTCTCGTGGTGCACCATGGGTATGCAAATTAGGGCGGCCGGCGGGGCTGCCAGACACAGATGCGGCTGCAGTCGCTCTTTCTCGCTCTTTGTCTGCGGTGGGCACGGCCGCGGGAAGTGCGGGTACTTCCCGCCGTTGCCGGTGCCGGATGCCAGGTGTCTCTTGGTAAATTAACAGTCCCCAGTTGGGACTTCTGTCCCAGATCTTCTGTCCCGTTCCTAATCGGCGTGGAGTCCTCGACCAAGGGAGGCAGAAGTTAAAGCCGGCAACCACGGCGCTCAAAGGCAGTGGAACCGTGCGGGAGGACATCGCCACCTCTTGGGGAAGATGACATCCTGTTGTATTTTTTCTCCCCGGAGTTTATGTTTTAAAAATTGGTACGTGTTTGCAGTACATAATTATATTTCTTGTGGGGAGTTGGTACATATTTGTACATCTTAATTCTTTTTTCATCCCTCCTTTAATTCTTTTTTGCCCTCCCCTTCGTACCTCCATTTCTTGATCTCCTTCCCATTTGAGAGCTATCTCCCTGCTTCCTATTATCTTTTATTTTGCAATTTAATTATATTTTGAGTTTCTCGTATAAGAGAAACCATGCTTGTGTGTCTGATTTATTTCACTTAGTATTACGATCTCAAGGTGTATCTGTTTTCCTACAGGACCACTTGTTTATCCTTTATGGCAGAGTAGCACTCTATTGTTTGTTTGGGTTTTGTTTTGTTTTATTTTGTTTTGTATCGAGGATCGAACTCAGACCCTTGTGCTTGTGAGGCAGGCGGCGGTACCACTAAGCTAAATCCCTGGCCCTGTTTATGTATTCTAGGTATTATTCCTCTGTCTAAGGAATAACAGACAATTTTTTTTCCCATTTTGTATGTTGTCTCTTCACTCTTGGTTGGTTGTTTCTTTTGCTGGGCTGAAGCTGTTTTGTTTGTTTTTTGTTTATACCGGGGATTGAACTCAGGACCTTGTGTTTGCAAGGCAAGCAGGGGCACCACTGAGCTAAATCTCTGGCCTGCTTCTTCTTTTTTTTTTTAATTCTTTCTTAGCAAGGTTTTTCTGTTTTATTTAATTATATATATATATTTTTCCCATTGTTTATTAGTACATTTTAGGTATACAATACAGTTACATTCATCATTGGGATCTTGCACCTATGATGTATCTTGGTTGTACTGAAGCATTTTTTGGGGGGGTGTGGAGATCCAACTCGAGTCCTTGTGTTTGGGAGGCAAGCGCTGGAACCACTGAGCTAAATCCCTGGCCCGTACCATAGCGTTTTAATTTGTTATGATCCCATTTGTTTATTCTTGGTACTATTTGTTGTGCAATTGCGGTTCTGTTGACAAAGTCCTGCCTATACCTATGACTTCGTGAGTTCTACCTATTTTATCTTCCATCAGATTGTTTCTGTTTTAACGTTTAGATCTTTGATCTATTTTGATTTTAGTGTAGTCCATCCAGTCCAATTTTTTATTTTTTGAGACAGGGTCTCACTATGTTGTTCAGGCTGGCCCTGAACTCACTATGTAGTCCAGGCTGGACTCTAACTCATGTCTATCCTCCTGCCTCAGCCTCCTGAGTGCTGAGAATACAGGCATGTGCCACCACACTTGAATTTTTTCTTTGAATGTGAAATAAATCGGTATGTACTGCAAATGTGTACTAATTCAAAAAAACTAAATGTGGACTGCTTCGTGCATTTACATGTTATCCTTGTGCAGAGACTATGCTAATCTTCACTGTATTGTTAGAATTTTAGTATATGTGCTGCCAGAGAGTACCCTCTTCCATTTGTAGGCACATTAGCATTGATTCAGATGTATTAGCCTGTGTGTAGTTTTTGGTCAAAAGATGAATGTCTGGGTGGGGTGGGTTGTGAGAAGGCAATGCTCTTTTGTTTGTTTGTTTGTTTTTTGAGACAGGGTCTCACCATGTAGTTGAGACTGACCTGAAACTATGTAGCCCAGGCTGATCTTGAACTCACAGCATCCTCCTGCCTCAGCCTCCCGAGTGCTGGGATTACAGGTGTGCACCACTACGCCAGCCTGAGAAGGCAATGTTCTTTCAGGGATCATTCAGGGAGGGTGCATGGCTGACCCAAGGTTGTGTGTCAGCCCAGGGACAACTGGGGAGGGCAATAAAGACTGGGTGAGGCTCTGCACTGCAGTCCACCCAGGGACACGGCCAGATTTGCAAGGCTTATGTACAGCAAGCTGGCCACCCATCACCGCCCACAGCTGAAATCCAGTGCCCTTGTTGGTTGCTATCTACATTTCTGTGCAGTTCCCCCACCGGGTAGATGGCCAGAGCTGTCTCCCTCCTGCCTGGCTGGTGTTCAGAGGCTTTGACCTAGACATTATTCTGGCTCTGGCTCTGGCTCCTTCCCCTCAGTCATGGACCTCCTAAAGCCTCTCCTCATGCCCTACTCCAGCTCTGCTTCAACCGGCCACTTCTCCAGTCTGCTTCCACTTTACCTTTTCTCATGGCTTTGACCCCCATCCTTGCCCCTCTGGCCAATAAGGCAGGAAGGTGGGCAGTGTGTCTGGAGAGGTGTACTAATAAAAAGTACAATGGTTAGAATACAATGGCTCTGAAAAGCCACTCAGTAGCTGGGCATTGTGGCACAAGCCTGTAATCCCCGCACTTGGGAGGCTGAAGCAGGAGGATCGCTGCAAGAAGGCCAGCCTGGGCTACATAGTGAGTTCAAGACCAGCCTGAACTACATAGTGAGACCCTGTCTCAGAAACAAAACAAAAACCCAAAACTACACAGTAGAGTTTGACACCAAAAATACTCGTATCGTTTTGTATACTAAGCACTCCATCTAGGTTGTTACCAAGATTATGACAGAAATTCAGAATCTAGGGTTTTTTCCACCTAGAACTAGAGAAGCCCCAGGTCATCAGGCTCTAACACCTCATAAACCACCTTAATCTCTAATCCTGTTACAGTTCAGATCTGGACCCCCCCCAATCTCATGTTTAGACGTGGGGCTTTTGGAAGGTAAGTAGATCATGGGGGTGCTGTGAGGTGGTGGGGCCCAGCTGGAAGAGGTGGGTGGGTGCTTGGAGTGTGCTTTTGGAAGGTCATCTCCCTCCCCAGCACCTCCCTTTCTTCTCTGCTTTTTGGCTGCCACAAAGGGAGCAGCTTTCTTCCACCTTGCTGTTTCTGCCTTGGAGTCAACCTATTAACTGACTGAACCCCTTGAACCCTGAACTAATTTAAACGTCTCCTCCTTTGTGTCCGGTCTTGCATCTCAGCAATGGGAAAGCTAATACATGTATTTATAAACTCCCAACTCTTGCCCAAAAGAAAACAAGTCATTTAAGATGAGTTCATATAGAATATATTTCGTTCTTTAAAAATATAACTTTCAGCAGAGCTAACATCTATGTGTACTAAAAAAATAAACATCTCATATAATTTATGGGAAGTGGACAGGGCTATACAGAGCCTACCTAGGAGTCACCAAGCAGTGAGAGGCCAGGACTGGCCCCGAGGCCCAGACTCCTGTGTGGGTGGCACCATGGAGAGAGATGGGGCTGCGCGGCAGCCTGAGGTACCCGCTTCTATACCTGCCCGAACACAGACATGGGCGCACACGGGCCCTGGAGCCCCAGGCTGTTCTGCGCATGGGTGTCAGAGGTCTGTGATGGCCGAATCAAGGATGCAGACAGCAGCAGCAGGGCCCACCAGGGGCCCATTTTGTACTGCAAACCCCATCCGTGGCTTTCCAGTGACGTCATGTGGCCCGAGCAGGGCCTCTGCTTCCCCTGCTCCTTTTTTTATTCAGCAGTTGGACTTGGCCCCCTCAAACTGGGGTTGCCAGAGGTGTCTGCAGCTGCAGTGGCAACAGAGGACCACGCGGACTCATCAGAGGCTGAGTGGATGTAGGCACCAGGGAGTGGGGGTGGGTGGAAGGTCACAGTCATGGAGGTGGTCACCCTGGCATAGCTCTGGGGCAGGCTGGCAGACACCCCCCACCTGAGCCTGCCCTCCTGTGCAGCTGTAGGGCTCAGGACTCGTGGGCTCTCCTTGTACATCTGCACCACCTGGGGGAGACAACAGGGCTGGTGAGCTGAGCGCGGGGGTGGCTGGACCACAGGGCCCTTTAGCACCTCCCTAGTGAGCACCATGCTTATTGTTAAGCGTGGCTCCTCCCCGTGTTGTGTTGGCCTCCAGCAGGGTTACAGCTCACAGTGAAAAGCTGTCCAGGACTGGGGCAAACCCTGTACCTTCCTCTGGATCCTAAAAGGCTAAGGTGAGTCCCAAGAAGAAGCCAGGGAGGCTGAGGGGCAGAAGCATGGTATCTGGGGAAAGGGGGCTGCCAGTTTTGGCTGGTGGCGTCTGTTGGGAGTTGAGCTCTGCTGGCCATGGGAGGCGTTTCCTAATTGCTGGATCCCTTCCCTTGCTTGTCCCCACCCTAACCCTGGGGCTGGGAGCAAACCTCTGGCGGGGGGCCCAGGATGGACAGCAGCACAGGGAGCAGCACGAGTCCATGGAGGAGGCCCAAGAGGGTGAGCACTGTCAGCACCATGAAGAAGTATCTGGTGGGAACAGGGCATCAGCTGGCAGTCTGATGCGAGTGTGGGCAGACCCTGCCTCCTCCTCTGAGCCTTCCTTACCTCACGATGAAGTCAAAGTTGGAACCGGCAAGCATGAGCAGACCCAGCAATGTGGACACTGCTCCATCGGTCACGGGGGCAAATGTGTGCTCCAGGGCATAGGCAGCCCGCAAGTTCCGGCTACCCTGGGTGGTCAGGAAGCCCTGGGGGAACGGAGTGGTTCTGCAGCTCATGTATGGTCTGCCAGCCATGGCCAGCTCACCCACGTCCTCTATGGCTACTTCTGTTCTCAGGGCTCAACCATGCCTCAGCCCTCAGAAGGCCAAGTGAACCAAGTTTTAGTATGGATGTATCTGGTAACAGGGAGATGTCCAGAAGAGCGGGGGAAACTACAGTGAATCACCTGTGTGTGTGTGTGTGTGTGTGTGTGTGTGTGTGTGTGTGTGTTTTGGTCCTGGGGATCAAACTCCAGACCTTGCGCTTTTAAGGCAGGCACAGTGCCACTGAGCTAGATCCCTGGCCCCCTTTTTTGAATTTTTTATTTTGAGACAGAATCTCGAGTCACTAAGTTGCACAGGCTGGGCTCAAACTTGTGATCCTCCTGTCTCAGCCTCCCAGATTGCTGGGATTACAGATGTGTGCCAACATGCCCAGACTGCATACTGCTGCGGGTTAGTTTGTTTTTCTGGTGCTGGGGATTGGAGCCAGGGCCTCATCTATCAGGGCCAGGCAAGTGAGCTATGACTGAGCCACACCCCAATGTATGCATTTGTTTTTCAAGGACTATGTCCTTCTTACAGTCAGAATAATAACAGGGCTCCATGGGGGAGGAAGAAGGGAGCTGTTTGTGTGACCTGACCGGGTTTGTGTTGGTGTTTCCAGCTGGTCTGTGCCTCACTTCCTCTGGTGGAGAACACACAGCTTTGGGAGAGGATTGTGCCCTCCTCAGTTCTAGCAGATCTGTTTTGGTAGAACTTTTCCTTCATACCCATGTCATCCTGCTAGCACCCCACTTCTCTGATCTGCTCACAGCAAAAGCACTGACAAGAACTGCTGGTTGCTGGGGATGAGGGTGTCACTCAGTGGTATATAGCACCTGGCTAACATGTATGAGGCCTTAAGTTTGATCCCCAGTATTGAAAAAAGAAAGAAAGGAATCTGCTGCCTGCCTCGCAAGTGTACAAGTGCAAGGACTGGAGCGCTATCCCTGGTACCAAAAAAAGAAAGAAAGGCAGGCAGGCAGGCAGGCATCCTGTAGGGTGGCACAACTATAATCCCAGCACTGGGAAGGATGAAGCAGGAGAATCATGAGTTTGAGGCCAGCCTGGGCTACATAGTCCAAGGCCAGTTTAGGGCCTGAATTACATAATCTCTCAATCTCTCTCTCTCTCTCTCCTCCTCCTCCCTCCCTCCCTCTCTCAAAACAAAAACAAATAAACCCATTCCAGACAGGCCTTTATCATCTTCTCTTTACTGAAATGTTTGGTTATTTGTTTACTTATTTTGAATTTCTTTTTGTTTGTTTTTGAGACAGGGTCTCACTATGTAGTTAAGACTGACCTGAAACTCACTGTGTAGCCCAGGCTGTATTTTCAATTTCTAAACCCTAATACAAGCTCCTTGGAGGTAAAGACCATATTGCTATTGTTATTCCCAGTTCTTAGTTTTGTTTTTTCTGGTACTGGGGATTGAACTCAGGACCTTGCACTTGTGAGGTGCCACTGAGCTAAAACCGTAGCCCCTATACTTCTAATTCTTAAACAGCTTGTAGCCACAGAAGGTGCTTAAATCAGTCAGGCTTGAAGGCAAACACCTGTAATCTCAGTACTTGAAAAGCTGAGGCAGAAGGGTTGCTATGAATTTGAGGTCAGCCTGGGTACATAGTGAATTCATTCAAGGGCAGCCTGAACTACAAAGTGAGACTCTGTCTCAAAAAGCAAATTAAAAAAAGCAAACAAACCAAAATGTAGCCAGTTGCTTTAACCACATTTGCTGAATCCTGAATCAGCTGACTCATCCCTCCTAGGTGCCTGTGCTCACCAGGGCCACGTGGACGGTGAATTCCACGCCGATGCCCACAGAGGCTACGAGGATCACCACGGGGATGGCACTCAGCTTGATGCCCAGGAAACCCATGACACCAAAGAGCTCCACGGTCATCATGGCCAGGACCAGCACCTAGGGAGTCAGGGCTCACTCAGGGATCCTGGCGTTGGGCTACAGAGAGCAGGTGGGGCTGCCCACGGTCTCTCTGACCCTAGCCTGAAGTACTTACAATGAGAACAGCTGTCCAGGGGCTGAGCAGCAGCAGGGCACAGACAAGGAAGGTACACACCAGCAGGATGCAGACAGCCAGCAAGAAGCAGCGCCGCAGGCCCAGATACTGCTCCCAGAAGAGGAAGGGGGAGCCACTGGGGTAGGCACGCACCCCTGCCTGGCCTGCCTCTGCACACGCTGCCCGAGCTCCTTCTATGGCCTCCACGAAGTCCGCAGTCTCCTGGAGGCCGTGTAGCAGGAAGGGGAACTGGGCAAACTCCAGGGGCTGCGCAGCTGGGACTGTGGACAGGAGGAGAGAACAGATGGGGGAGGAAGGGCAGTGAGCCAGGGAGCAATGGGCAGGTCCTTGGGGTCAGGGCTGTGGGGGCCAGGCCAGAGCCCCAGTACTCACTGCGAAGGTTCTCCCCAGTGGTGTCGAATCTGTCGTGCAGCCACTCCGGAGGTGGGGGGTAGAAGTTGGCCTGTGAGGCTGCCAGCCCCAGGGGGTCACTGCTAACCCACACTGTTAGCCCCATATAGAAGAGCTCTGGGGGAATCAGGCCTTCCTTGTCCACCAGCTTCCTTGTGGTCAGCTGCAGAGGCAGAAGGGTCTGAGAGCCTGAGGATGGAGTCTCACGCTGCTCTGTGCCCCCTGACCATTCAAGCCCTCTCCCAACCTGGCTGAAATCCAGAGGCTCCTGAGCATTTCCAGTCTGAATGAGCAGCTTGTAGGCCAAAGCCCCATCCTCAGAGCCATTGCGGTAGGAGTGGCGGGTAATGCGCCCAGAAGCCCAGTCCTGGTCAAACGCAGTCTGGATTCCTGGGAGACAGCAGGGTAAGGTACAGTTAGCCCATGGCTCTGGCGGGCTGTGCCCTGCAGCATCCCTCCCTGCTGGTCTCTTGGCCTCTCACCCTGTAGCCAGTTGCGATAATAGTGCAGCCAGGTTCGGGGCGCCTGGGTGGCAGGCGGGGGCAAAACAGCCTTGAGGGAACTGAAGCGCTGGTGCAGATCAAAGAGGGCACGTTGGGAGTGGGCGTAGTCAAAGCCACCCTGGGTCACCAGGGCCACCTCGTACAAGGAGAAGTACCTGAGCTGGGCGCTCAGGAAGGCATGTTCCTTGGTGCTCCGAGGCACCACATCTGTGAGGGCCAGCCCGTCCTGCACCAAGGTGGCTCCGTAGAGGCTCAGGGCCAGGAGAGCCCCAAAGAACACCAGCACCATGGCCTGTGGGAAATGGCAACTAAGCCAGGGCCCAGGACTGCCCTCCAGCTCTCAGATGGTGGGCCAGGCCCGCTGCCCTTCTTGGGGCCCACAGATACCGAGCCTCTGCCCTGCCCGATCCTCTTACCTTGGCATGTGACTGGAGCAGCAAGGGTGCAAACCAGTACCGGGCGAAATGGGCAAGATTCCAGCAGGCACAGGGGAGGGACTTGAAGGCCGCCTTCTGCCTTGACCCCTCCTCTTGGTCTAGAAGGTCCCGTGTGGACCCTCGAGGGCTGAAGAGCTCAGAGGCCAGTGGGTCAGAAGGTGGGGGCACCAGGTGGGCTTGAGGAGGCAAGACAGTGACCACATGCTGGCTGCTGGCTTCGCAGTGGGTGAAAGCTTGTACTGTGGTGGTCAGGTGGGCAATGCCCACTGGTACTGTCCTATCCCCCAGCTCTTGGGGCAGAATCTGAATCACTCGAGCAGAACAGGGGCTAGAAGAGGCAGAGAGAATGCATGCCAGGCGCAGGCCTTGAAATGCTAGGGACGGACAGGTGGGGCTGGAGCCAAGGAACAAAAGAGGGGGCATGCAGGGACAGTACCTGGAGAAGCAGCAGAGCACATCGAGGCGCCGGCGGTGGCGCCGGCATAGATCCAGACTGAGGATGGCTGGGAAGATGAGCATCACTGCTGCGAAGTTGCAGCCAACCACAACAGCCGCCTGGGGTGGACAGGAGGGCAGACACTACCAGAGGCACGGCTAGCTCCACGCCCACTCTCACCCACTGCCCGTTCATGAGGCCTCACCTGCAAGGAGAAGGCCCGCAGGGCAGGGATGGGAACCAGGGCGGCCATGAAGAAGGCAACCATGTTGTTGATGGACGTGAGTGCGACGCTGGTGCCCGTGCGCTGTAGACACTCGCCCATGCGCTCCTGCCAGCACAGAGCAGTGACAATGCCATCAGCTCACGGGGAGGGGGCCCTGGGTCTTCAACGCAGAGCGAAGGGAGGCTCTGGAAGTTGGGGTGGCAGAAGTGGGGTGATAATGCCACAACAGCTCGTGTTTTATTGAGTACCGTGAATGTGTCATGTGTTCATCTTTGTATTTAAAAATATGGAACGCTTCATGAATTTGCATGTCATCCTCGCACAGGGGCCATGCTAATCTTCTCTGTATCGTTCCAATTTTAGTATATGGTACCGGGGATCGGACTCGTGACCTTGCGCCTGTGAGGCAGGTGCAGTGCCACGGAGCTAAATTCTCGGCCCTTGTCTTTTTATTTTTTATTTTGAGTTCCTAGGGATTGTACTGAGGGGCCTTCACGCTGACCTCCATTCCCATTGCTTTCTACGTTCCTTCTCCCTAAGTTGCCCACGTGTGACTCGAATTTGTAATCCTCCTGCCTCGGCCTCCCAAAGTGCTGGGATTATGTGCCACCATGTTGGGCCCATGTTTTGTTCTAAGCACTCATTTAGTTTATCTCCTCCCAACAACCTCAGAACACAAGCACTATCACTACCTCCGTTCGGAGATGGGGCGAGCAGGTGAGCTAGTAGTCCAAGGTCACTTGGACCAAGAGGCTCTTAACCACCTGCTGATCTGCCTCAGCCGGCCTAAGCTGGAGGATAGGGGTCTCACCCAGAGAGGGGTGCCAGGTGGGGCCTTTGTGAAGGAATGCGCCAGCAGGAATATGTCATCCACGCCGATGCCCAGTGCCAAGAACGGAAGCACCTGGAGGGGGAAGGGTAGCCAGCTGGAGGATCTACACAGCCTGGTGACCACCCCCAAGACAGTCCTGCAGCCCTGCGCACCTGAGTAGTAGCAGCATTGAAGGCGATACCGAGCAGGGCACAGAGCCCAAGGCCTGAGGCCACTGCCAGGGCCACCAGCAACACCCCAGCAAGGCCCACAGCCCCCTGGGACTGGGCACAGTCCCATCGGAGCATCGTCACACAGGCGTAGGCCAACTGTGGGGATAGAGGTCGCAGTCTTACAAAGGGGTTTCCGGGGTGGGGTCGGGTGGAGGAGCAGGACCCACCATTAGTAGATAGCCTCCCGCCACACGCGCAGCGCTGACTTCTGAGAAGGTGTGCAGGATGTCCTCCAGAGTGGTGGGAGAGAAGGCGTGGATCTGCTGCGATGAATTCTCAGGCAGGGCTTCCTGGGCCAGCTGGAGAGACAGGGTGGCTCTGAGGACGGAGGACGGGAGCCCCCGGGCACCTTCCCTGTGCCGGGCCACACTGACCTCTACAAAGCGCCGCTGCCAGGCTTGCAGCACTATGCCAGCCTGCTCTTCGCTCCAGCCAATGTCATGCGTCTGGTAGTCGCCTCGGAAGTGCTCATACAGCTGGCGGGGACTCATGAGCAGGAAAGTGCTCTGGAGGGCCTCCGCCCTGAAGTGGAGTACAGAAGTAGGGGTCAGAGCTGCCTGGCATGTGGAGTGTGGAGATTCCCATGCACCAGCTCCCAGGAGGCCCTACCTCAGCAGCTGTCCTCGGGGGTCTCGGACCATGCCTCCCAGCAGCAACTCCTCTTGCCAGTGCATGAATTTGTGAGAGAAGCCATAGCAGCCCCCACTCAGCTCCTGAGCCACATTGGGAGCCTGCAGGGGGGAAGGAAGGGGTTTAATACTCAAGGCCTGCAGGTATCCCTGGACTTGTAGGAACCCTGCCTGCTGCAGAGCTCAGCCGGCCTGAAGTATAGGCAACTATTCTCCTGAGCCTCTGCCTACTCTGTAAGAGTGAAGTGCTAGTGTCCTGCAGACAGGAGGCCGCAAGAGGGACGGGGACCTGGAAACAGGCCGCTGGGAGGAGCTGGCATGACTGTAGCGGGTTTTGGAAAAGTACTACACAGAGAGCCACAAGGACACTTGGGAAAGTGGGCTTGGTATTTGTGCTTAGCTATTTTGTTCTTACTTTCCTGTTAATTTTGAAAAAGACTAGCTTTGGACTTAGAAAAGGAAAAAGGGATTCACATGCCACTTGAGGGTTCCTTAGGAGAAGGGAAGGGAAATGGGATACTCCTGGGGTCTGGCACAGCGGGGCAGAGGGCAACATCCAGGGCGTGGGCTGGGGTGAGCTCAGAGCAGTCAGTTTTCTCAGAACAGACGGACACATGAGGAGGAGGGGAGCGAGCAGCCTTCCCCCGGCAGACCTGGTCGGAACCCACCTGCCTGCTGTGGTGGTTGGGGGCAGTAGGAGGGCACTGGAGGTCATCAGGGTCCAGACAGGGCCGCCCTACATAGGCTTGTCCCACCTGTGCCTTGTCTAGTAGTTCCCGAAAGCCCTCGAGGGAGGTGAAGGGGCCCAACTCCTCCAGCAGCTGCTCTGGATCCAGGTTGGTCCACTGGATATCAGGGCGGCCCCTGGTGGGCAGCTCAGTTAGCCAGAGTCAGGGATCGATACGCACCCTCCCAACGGTGGTTGTGGACCGGTGCTGCACACCACCCTCCTAGGGTGTAATCAGCTCTGCTTCTCAGAGCTGCCAGGCTACCCGAGCCCACCACATTCCTGGAGTGATCTGGGGATGGGTACAAGGGGGCGGAGATAGACAGCAGGCTGGACATACTTAACACTCAGTACCACCGAGTATATACCGAGCTGCCCATGCTTGATTCTAATAACTACACCTGCACCTGCATCTACCAGGTTTCCTTTCTGGCCCAAGAAACAGCTTAGCTGATCACTAGCTTATCTCCCTCTCCCCCAAGACTCTTTCTGGGATCCTTTCCTCATTTGCTGAGATCTTACAGATCCGTGTATTCTGTTTGGTCCAGATGAGACAGGTCTTCCCCTGCTTCAGAGGTAAGAAGGGGCTATAGATAGCCACGCAGCCTATGTTCTGGCCCTGGTTTGGGAGCTAATTAGGACTTGGCAAGGTTCTCACCCTCCATTTTCCTCCCACCCTCCTCTGCTGGGAAAGTCCCTGGCGGGAGATGAAGCAGGGCCCAAGGAGCAGTGTGGGGCACTCACGGCAAGTAGGCAGAGCCCCCTTGGAGTTTGGCTCCTTCCCAGAAGCAGTCAAGTGGTGTGAGGATCACACATGGAAACAGCTTCTCGATCATCTGCCAAGGACACCCCCGGCCCCATCAGTCCTGCCCTGCCTGGACTCCTGTCTCCACAACCTTTGTAGGATGCCCTCTGCAGTCTGCCCAAAAGTCTTCCCTGTGCCCTGGCCTCGAAGTCCCTCTGAGTCTTCCCACACTGCAGGAATGGTCCTGCCTCTGCCCAGGCCATGCACAGCCTGCCCCCTGCCCAAGCATGGTGGCACCAGATCAGGACACTCACCCGCTCGATCATTCCATTTTCAATAAGGGGAACTCCTGACTTATAGCAGATTTTGTTCAAATCCCAGGATCTGCAAAAGCCAGGGGCACAGGTGATCAGCAGCCAGGGGGATTCCCATTTCAGAAGCGCTTTATCCCACCCAGCTGCTCAGGGCCTCAGCCAGACTCACTTTCCGTACAGCGATACTTGCACTTTACTGGCAGTGAAGGCTGCCTGGAGGTGAAGGCCAAGCGCTTCAGCCGTGAGGACATTCTTCCCCTCCTGGCGGGCGGTCTGAATCAACATCTGGGAGGTGTAGGCAGCTTCCTCTCCCAGCTTCTCCTTGGTATAATGCAGCTCTTGACTCACTCGGCTGCCCACTGCCAGAGTAAGAGAGAACCGGAAAAGGGCCCCGGGAGGATCAGAGCTCAGAGGGTGGAGAGATCCTAAATCTGAGGGCTCCCTGGGGACAAAGGGAGAGGTAGGGCTTTAAGGAGACCCTGCCTTCCTGACAGGCTTGCAGGACCCGGAATCCTCATGTTCCAGCCAGGGAAGTGGAAAATCCTTTGGCTCTATAGATTTCTTTCCTTTTTTTTTTTGTATTTGGAATAGAACTCAGGACCTTGCACTTGGCAAAGCAGGCATGGTGCCAGAGCTAAATCCCTGCACCCCCCCACCCGACACATAATTTTTTTTTTTTTTTTTTTTTTTTT